CCCCCTTCCCCAAACTGCCTGTCGAAGAAGGCAAGCCAGCCGCCAGGGATGGCGGGCGCCCGTAGGCCCGACGCGTCGTTTCCATAGGCTGAGCTGTTTATTTACGGAGCCCGCGGGAAAGGGCCAGCGAGACCACCGACCGCCTTCGAAGCTGGGCAGGGAGAGCAAAGGCCCCCCCGCCCCTGGAGTTTCGGGGTGTCCTCCCCAGGCGCCGCAACAAGCTGCTCGATGATGCCTAAGTGGTGTCAAATCAAGGAGGGCTCTCCCTTAGATGCTTTTCCAAACAACCCTAACAAAAATAAGCCCGTGGGAGATGCTTCGAGTAGAAAATCAATAACTTCCCTGAATGGCAGCTATCAATCCCATGGAGGGCAGAAGACATTCCCCTGCAGGCAGCTCGGAGCCGGCTAGGGCCTGTGGGTCTCTGCCTGCCCGACCTCCATGTTAAAGGTGGATCCAGTTGCTCCACGTTACGCAAATTCAGAGCAAATCCAGCTTCTGGCATACCGCCAGTCCACCCTTGTCTGGCAAAGATCACGAGCGTTCCGAGTAGGCTGGACTCTCCCAGCATAAAAAGGAAAAACCATACAGGCTCGAGGACAAGATTTTAGGGACCAGTTATGAGGAGAAGTATAAATCCCTTTAATCCTTTCTGTCAGACCTTGGTACGGGTGAAATAATGAGCTCTCACCCTCGCTACGCGTGCACTACCAGGCAAAAGGTGAAAATTGATTTTCAAGCCATATGGATCAACTCATCAAACGCTAGGAGGGTACCTGGCAGCAGCAGGAGATTTTTGCACCCCTTTCTTCCCCACTGTGCAATCCATTTTAGCATTTCCCAGCTCAGCAACCACATCACATCTCATCACGTATCAATCCATCATGTCAGAGACAAGGGGAAGTGGCATCACCAGAACGATGCATCCCACCATACCCTCCCCGACGGAGGGAGTGCCGGAGGGTTTCACCTACAACCAGGAACATGAACCCTTTGAGCTAAAGGAGGAAGGGTGAAGTTAGAGCAGATAAGATGTTGTCGGTATGCTAACACTGAACCTAAATTAGCCCCCAAAGATTTTGGTTCTGGGGGGAACGTGGAGAATTCATTTTTCAGCTGGGATTTTCAAGCTGTGACTACCGATCCAACTGGGACTATAACCAAAAATAGTGTAAAATGCAGTAATAGCAGCATTCAGCAATTCAGAGTAAAAAAAACCTCATGAAAACAGGTAGTGAGATTTCAGAAGCACTGAATACTTGCTTTTTTTGATTAATAGTTCTAACTTAACCAGCAAATCGAGTCATTCTCCTCCCAGCCATCTCTTAAACAATCAGTTGTGTTTCCCTTAAACAATCAGTTGTGTTTCCCTAAACATTCCTTGCAGGACAGTGACTCACCCAGCACAAATGCAGGCTTTTGGTTTCCAGTCTTGTGATGCCACAGTAGGGCACCAGTTCTCCCTGATGCTGAAGAGGAAAGGGGAGCTGGGACAAGGCTCTTGCATGCAACAGCTTCACCTCCAGCAATCTGCTCCCACTGAGAGCAAACGTGTGGGCAAAGACTTTGAGCAAGTAAGTCATGGGGTGTTTTCATCCTCACACTGGCAAAGACTGCAGTCTGGAGGTATTGCCTTCTGAAGGCTTAGAAAATGAAAGTCACTGTGATACCCATCATAAAGGCATGTAGGGCTTCTAATACTGGCCTGTAATTGCTGCATTAGCAGTTGCCCTCCCCAAAAAGAGAGCGAGCAGATCAATGGAGAAAAGCACCAGTCTCAGACTCTCGCCACAAACGTGGTTGAGTTCCCCAGAGGTGCACCAGCGTGAGACACCACTCTATCTTTTTCCTGCTCTCTTCGTCCGTGGTTTGCTGCCCTTGGCACCGGGCTCACCCAGAGCGGAGGGTTAGTTCATGCTTCCCTCAAAACTGTCCTTTCAAGACACACTACGGCTTGGGGAAGGAGCTCTGTGGGCTTGTGCTTGATTCACCGCCTGAAATGGTCCTTCCAACCAGGGGAGCTGGAAATGGTGTTTCTGTGTTTGGGCATCCCCCCAAAGCTAGATGTGTCCTAAAGCAAACATCTGCTAGAAAACACTTGGAATCATTGATTTAGCTGTCTTTTACTTTCTGACCAAATACCTCAGTACTAACAACGCGAACCGAGGAAATGTTTCGTGACTTGTTTATGGAGGAGCTCACCTCGCAGAAGAGCCCTGCAGAGCTTACCCGCAGCAAGCACTGCTCCCTTCTGAAGGATACTCAGCCTTTTCCAAGTTTTCTTACAATAAAAAGGGAGGCCAAATGTAATTTTGTTTCATATTTGACTCAACTTTATATTTTTCTAAGAATGTCGACTGTAAGTTGCTATTCCTTCCTGGTTTCAGAGGATTTCCTACAGAACTTCTACTGACTTCATCCCTAATATATTTTATTAGCCTATGACATGAGATTGGCCTTTTTCCTACTCTCAGAAACCACAACCCGATGTGATTTTTTTTTTCTGAGCATATTCAATGAACAGCTTTCTAAATGCTTTTGCTTTCTGCAATTCAACACCCATAAGAGACATGGCTTATCTATCCCCTAACAACTAAACGTCTATTTTCTGAAAAGCATACAAGAATTCTTACTACGAAAGCTGGCAGACCTTAGTTAAACTCCCACTTCCAGCAGTAGCAGCACACGGGATTTTGACATTCATTTTCCTCAAATGCTTTTGCCATCATGGTGCACTTGCTCAGATATTTGTAGAAAACCACAAGCAGACAAAGAGAAATCATCTCGGAATTGAAGCAAATCCTCGCAAACTCTCACAGTATACTAATTGCGTAAAATCCAATCAAACCCGTTCAACCTCACAAAAAGGGTAAAGATTGCTAAAAACACATGCTGAATATTGAACAGATGTGAAAAAGAAGCCATCAAAATTCTCGCCAACAACACAGACATCCCTTAAGTGCTCTCAAACTAAAGAGTCCCTTGTTATTAAAAGATTTCTTCCACGTCAAACCATTCTTATCTTCCGCTCTACAATCAGGGACCTTTTCTTTTGTTTGGCACTGAAAAAAAAAAGACTACCTTCACCAACACAGCCATGTACAGCACCCACCCTGCATTTAAGTGGAGAGGAAGGTCTGCTGCCCCATCCCCCCACTTAACATTCAGTTCTCCTCTGAAATTATGTGTGAGGAAAGGATTT